CAAAAAAAAGACCTTTCCGAAACTTACCTTACTTTGGAAAAATAAACCCGAGTGTCGTAGTCCCTCTGTAAATCCCATGATTGAAGCAGTCTATCCGATTAGATGGCATTAAGAGACAGATCTACTTCTCTTCAGGTTGAGCCTTTTAACGACTAGGGGACTTTACATATTTAGATCGTATATATGAAAACCAAGATGTCGTGGCCTTCTGTTTAATCGCAGTCATATTCAGGCATATACATGCATATTTACTAGGTTACTTGAGCCAGATAATGGAAAATGTGAACTCCCTATACCAGAGGTAATGTCCTTGCCAATACTTTTTTGTGCAAAAATATGTAACCTAAAGCTATACAAAGTTATTTGGTTAGTTCAAGTCGTATGTCAATATAGTGGCGTGTGTGTGTGGGTGTGTTTATGTATACTTATGTGTCATTATGTAATGGATAATAACAAAACCAATAGCTATGGCTCAAAGATATTAGAATATAGTGCAGCATTTTTCCTCGGTCGTTAAGGTTTAATAACACCTTACCCTCATTTTTTGACTATCACGCCGACTTCGTAATGTCGCATAAAATTCTGGGCAAATGATTAACCATTTTTCATTGTGTGTCTGTGTATGTGTGAGCGTGTGTGTGGGGGGGGAGAGAGGACTAAAACGTATTGAAAGTGTGATCGTAGTTAGAACCATGACGAGTGGAATACTAGTTGAATAGCCCTTTTTCTAAGTGGTTTAACACCATTTCTATCATTAAGTATATCGGTTAACCATATGTACTTCTTATTTAACTTATGGACGGTATTCCTGTCTTTCAATGCATACTAGTTGAGTTCAATTACATTTTAAGTAAAAGTGTATAGTGAAGAGATTCGAAGGTCGATCTCACAAGAAAACGATGACGTATCCCTCTTGACCGGCTGTCGAATGGCTTTGCTGGAACATTCTTGTGAACACCGTTTCCGAGGAAATCCCCCTCGATTCTGATGTAAACATGCTAAACCATTTTGCCAAAAGCGACCATTGTGCTAGCGAACTGGATCGGCTTAAACGAATACTAATTGAGAATAATTATCCCCTAGGCCTGATTGAAAGTATTATTAGATTGATAAAGAATATCTTTTTTACCAGTGAATATGTAAGAAAATTTATAAAGCTGAAGACCTTTTCCCATGTTGGCAGAACACACGACAGAAACTGGACGTAAAAAATTTCATGATTTGCCGATTAGAATATGTCTGTGGCAAAATGTAAGATTAGGGAGAACATCGAAATAAGCCGGATAAGCGATAGATTAAGTGTAAGGAATACCAGGAAGAAGATAAGTAAGGACTCTGTTAAAAAGACCTTGGAAACAGCGCCAATAAGAATGTTCCAGTAAAGCCAATCGGCAGCTGGTCAAAAGGAATCCGCCGTCGTCTTCTGGTGGAATCGGCTTATGAATTTATTTACCAAACACTTTCACTCGAAATGGAAGTGGGCTGAACAATTATGAAACAAGAGAGTCCTCGAAACCCAACTTTTCTTCGCATAATTAGCTAAACCATGCTATATCTATTTAGGCATTTTGATTTTCTTTTGCTTAAATGAGAATATATGAGGTAATATAGAGCCGGATAGTCTTCTTGGCCTAATGTTAACTTGAGATTTTTACAAGAATGAGTTCAAGCTCTGATGATGTCCATCATATGTTGGACGAAAACCCAGCTCGTTTTCAACCGAAGCGAGTGAGTATGTCTTGTGGTTTGCGTAAGCCTGAACGTCGTATTTACGCCAAACGGCTGCGGTACAACGCGATTCATCCGTCCTCTTCTGGTGAGATCGACATTCGAATCTATTTTCATCCACTTTCATATGAAATGGAAGTCTTCCCAATAATATTGCTTGTTTTGCTTTGAATCACGGTCACTTTTCTCTACTTTTTATTCCACATTTTGTCTCTAGCATGAAAAAAAGATCTGATCAACATAACCAGACTTGTTTCCAACTTTGCGCAATCAAAGTGACGGTTAAAGTATATATACAAGGGATTGATGTTGTTCATTAAGCCTAAATGGCCAAGAACAGGCATTAATTTTTCTGTCCTAATGATTTGGTAGTCATCACTGCTGGTTTCGTACATACACAAGCACAGGAAAACACATAAACTCATGCAAGCAGACACATTCACATTCTACCTGGTTGACAAATAACTTGAAGCAGCCTCATCAAAGGGCTCATATATATATATATATATTGCATTATATAGTGACCATAATTATTAGGGTATATATTAGTAAATTTTAATATTTTCTGGAAGGCAACCCATTCTATATTCTATGGCAATTTTTGATACTTATTTCGTTTAAAGTGATGAAAGACTGGTAGTTGATTTTTCCCATAATTATATGATTTTTTAAGTCAAAACAATCTTTTAGATCCTATCATATTTTTTTACTTTATTTAGCGCCATTTTGCTGGTATTTTCTTTCCTGAACCAACTCTTCCTTTTCTCTATAAAGTTATCGCCTCAAACGAGTTTATATATGTGATTTCCCAATACTTGTGATTTGCTTCCATCAAACTAGTATGTCTAATTTCGTACAAAGAGCTCTGAAATAGAATTCAATTTCCTCACGCTATATTCAGTTTATGTTAGAATAAATAAAAAGGATTTTATTTCGTCTATTTTCACCGAAATTTAATTCTACAATAAAGCGTTACGTCTCAAATGGGTTTATCAGACCAGATTGTTTTGCCATTTCATCAGCTGTTCATTAAGTACACTTAGGCTAGAGATTTGTATGCATTATCCCTTGTAATCTCCACCTTCCTGTACCGACTTAACAATCATCAAATGACATATAAGCTTCTGAAAAAAGATCATTTCCCCTTTCGCATAATCATGTTAAAGTTCAAATTATCTCTTATCTCTATTCTACCTCTAAATAATGTACTTTTAAAGAAGGAAATATACTCGAAACTGTGAGTGTATTTCATTCATTATCTCTTCAAGGAGTTAGAGCCAACTCAAATCTCGATTACAAGATATGAGAAATAGTTATTATCCTTTTCTCCGTTCAAAGCTATTTGTGTTATACGATCGACCTCAATTTCCTCAGGACAACTTCATCTCACTCCTCATTGACGTTACATTATAAAGTATTAATCTCCCAATACTGGTAACTTACATGAGAAATATTATTATAACATAGTTTCAATCGATAAAAGACCTTAAATTTGTTTTAATAAAAGAGAAGGATTTTTTTATTAGTGAGCTTTAACATTGATATCTTTTGAGGGACTCTTAAGAGTATATTTCAATCGATTCTAGTATCCAAGACTTATAAGATACATGTCGTATTCCATGATTGTGAAATAAGCATTTACCGTAAGGGTATGATGGGGAGCTATGTACTTCCGACCAATACTCAATTCCAACCACTTTCAGAAGCGTTATCATTATCCTGGAATTATCAAGAATCTTATTTATTCACAAAATACACTAGTTTCTTTCGTTTTTAAGGACTTACAGTGCCAAATAAAGCTGATTATCAAAATAGTTTTAGTAGGGTTTAGATTGTCAATAGTTATTTGAAATATTTTATCCATGATGGGTTGATGACTAAAGTGTATTTAAAAGTTTCTGCTGTTTCTTGGTTATAGACTATTTACTTTGTTATTAGCATCAGTCCTCTGTTTATAAGATAATTGCCCTTAAAGTGAATACTAGTGCATTCCAAGTTTGGTAGTTATTTGGTTATATTTCGTGGTTGAAGTAGAAAATGTAAGCATGATTTATGAAAGACAGCTTGTAATAGTAGAGCAGTTGGGAGAATTTTAGTGCGTTTAATTCCATTAAGTAGTTTTTTGTTACTGTATGTTTGCATGGTTAGAATCGCCAGCATTTTCTTTAGGAGCATAGTAAAATGATAAATCGTGTAAATGCGCCAGTACTGCTGGGACAGTTTTTTTGAAGGTGTCTGCTTTTCGATGCGTAGGCTGTTATCAGAGCATATGAGAACCTACCATAAAGCGAAAAATAATATCTGTGGTTTTCACAGGGCAATAAAACTAATTTACTAAAATGATTAATGTGGATGGTTCCATTGGGAAATGAGGTGATTCATTGAAAGGGATAGAATGATCGCGATTG